CCCCAAAACCCCAAAACCCCAAAACCCCGTACTATTTATTTTAAATTAATATTCATATTAAATATTTAATTTTTTAAATATTCTTGATCAAAATCAAAGTTCTTCTCGATCCTCTCATATCTTCGCTTTCTCTACTCTTAAAATGTGAGCAATCTCAGCTTCCAAAATCCACTGATTTCCCTCTACTCAAAACACGACTATCTCAAAACGAAAGGAGCAAACAAAGAATTATCATATTTGATATTTAACAGTAACAAAAACAACCAAAGCTTTAAAAAGATTTGCCAACATCTGTTCGGCAATATTCTTCCTCTACTCTTCAGAAATTACAACCATGCATTTTCTAAAGAAGTAGCATATTCCCCAATATCTCACAGTAAATAACAGAAAAGTTTTATAATACCTAAAGACTGTGTAAGAGGAATTAGATACTTTGACATCATCACTAAGTCGACCCGATGAAAAATAACTCAGAAACAGATTTGCCTGCATAAATCTCAAGACTAGTTCAAAGAATTGGGATTTCGAGTCTTTGACATTTGCTAGTGGCTAAATTATTTTAAAATATTGTAAGAGAAAACTAAAGAGTATTTAAGAGTTAAATTTTTTAGAAATTCTACTGCCATCTTTAATAACTCTTGCATAATATCGTGTTTTTTAGCCTAATCTATGTCTTGAAATACTCTGTCTATTCATTCCCATTTCAACTCTGCTTTCAGAGATATTGTCAGCAATCTCTCTTTCTCTCCTAGATTGTCTAAATCTTCCTCTTTTCCAGACTTTTATCCTCCTTGTCTGTGCGGGAGGGTTTAATCTTCTAGATTGATTTGGTCTTGGTTTTGGGTTAGTCTGAGAATTTGATTTCCCTTTGCAAAATTTCGACAAAATATCATAAATCAGGAACAAACAAAGAAGAAAACAAATAATAGCATTATTAGAGAAAAGAACTACAATGCCGGCAAAAATAGCTTGGTCCGACCAATTTTCTCTTTTAATTCCCATTAAAACTCCTAAACAAGTTACGAAATAAATCTCATTCAAAATTTCAATTAGATTTGCTCTTCTCTGCTTAAAAGGCCTAACTCAGATCAAGAACCCAAGATAAATAAGTTGGACTGTCAGAACATTGCTAATAATGAATATTGAAGACGAATTTCTCAAAAGGACCAGCAATGAGACATAAATAAATCTTCTGGAAATCACACTGATGGAAACAGTATTGCTAATTTGTTGCTTTTGATCCCAGAATATAGCCCATCAATTCTTGATTTGAAATCTGGCTTATAAGGCTTATATAATAGCACATGGATGTATCAAAAGATCATAAGAGCTAAGCATCAGAAGAGGATGATGAGAGATATAACCAGAGAAATTAATGATTCTGATTCTTTAATCCTAAAGCTAACAATTTCAGAAATTGACGTCAAAGATAATGCCAAATAAGCTTCCAAAAATAATCTTATGTATGCATTAAATGCCATTAGAGAATGGAAACGATTGATAACAAATTTACAGCATTTCTTGCACTTCGATTGCTTAGTATCTAGATTGAGTTTAGACATTCAATAAGAGAAGCAATTGATACATACAATAAAGAAAAGAGATAACATGACATCAATATTATTTTGAAATGAACTCTCATATGCAAAGCCCATTCTCAAAATATTTTCATTCGACTGCCTTCTGCCAAAAATATCATAAATTTTTCCTATGTAAGGAATTGTTTGCGCTCCTGCTGAGTCAAAATTAATAAGAGCAAAATTGCTATTTGTTAAAAATTCTACAATTTGTGTAGGGATGTATGCCTTCATCAATAATAATAACAACAAAATTTGAAGATGATTCACAAGAACCCACACTGCTACTGGTGATTGCATTGAGACTAGAGATGAGATAATGATTATTGCAATAGACAAACCCAGAATTCCATTTGCAACTTTGGCTGTTGTTGAAACAGCTGTCAAATCCATTTTATCTCACTCATAGCCTTCATAATACAAATCGCATTCTTCGCATTTATAAGAATTTGTGGGAGAGCATCTAACACAATTTGAAACCTTTCATTTGTCAACACTGAAGTAAACAAGCTTATTCCTTGGAGCTTCCCATCCGGTAACTAGTGTTGATATTGCAGCTGAGTATGTTAAATTGCTTCCTTCTGGAGTTTCGAAGGCAATCGAACCATTATTCGAATAAAAATTTATCCAATTTGGGTATGAACTAGGAGTATTCTCTGTTAATTCAAAAGAGACATTGCTTGAATCACAGGCATAAGTCAGATTTAATTCCACATAACCATTAGTGTTTTCAGTGAGATTAAACACTTCAGTTGTCAAGTTGTGGTGGATTTTGGTTTGAAATAACAAGCCAGGAGAATAAATTCTGTTAAAATTTGTACCTTCAGAAACACTTGTTGCACTGAGAGTAGTTGAATTCAAAACTAAAGCGGACGAAGAATCCGAATTTAAAATATAATTAGTCTCTGATAAATTCAATTTTGACGATTTAATTTCAACATTAGAAACAAAATCTGCATGGAATTCAATATAGTCATATTCTGCTGAGATGATGTATAAATTTACTGAAGAGACACCTCCAGAAATCTGTATTTTATCTTCAAAAGGAGCTCCATTAAGAGAAGGAATAAAATTTAAATCTCTGAAATAAACTGTTGACCCTTTTAGTTTTATTGATTTTATTTCCTTAATTTCTGGATTATATTTAAATAAAGTAGTTCCTGTTGAGCCTGAGTTGAGCCCGATAACATTTACATTATTTGTTTTCATTCTCCATAATTGATTGCAATCTTGAATAATTATTTTACTCTAAAATTATTTCACATAAAAGCAAAAGAAAGTTTCTAAAACAAATAAAGTAATTTCTATAAAATGAAAATAATAGAGTATCTTAGTCATCTCCACTATAATATCAAACTTACTGTAATTCGGTTTGTTTGATCCAACTCCAATAGCACCAGTTGTTTTGGAGTTCCAAAAATTGAACCAATTAGGATAGAGTCTTTCGATTGCACATAGACAGCTTTAGAAACTCCATATTCTCATGAACCATTAGGTCAATTTATGTAATTTTCCCAAGAAATAGAGTTGGAGCTAAAGTTAATCTTCTTTAAAATTAGTTTAGAAGAGGGATTAGAATCATGACCAGAAATGAAGATACTGTTTGAACTTAATGGAAGCACAATGACGGAGTATTCATGTATATCAGTAGCTGTTAGGCATTTTAGGTTTAAAGTGTTTGGGTCCATCTTTCAAATGGTTGATTTGCCGCTAATAGTGCCAACACTATTTACAATTAATGAAAACATATGAATTGTGAGCAATTACTGTTGCATCATTTCCTGAACATACTCAGAATGGATTATTCATTGTTTTATCTAGTACTCCATCTGATGTTCTAATCTTTAGTATCAACGAACCCCAGTGATAAAATAGAGCTGATTCGTCGGGCATCATATCAATCAAGAATGTAAAATGATCTCTTTGATATGCTTTGCTCCACAAAATATCATTATTTGTTCCTCCAAAGCCAAGTCCGCCGCCTCCATAAATTTTCATAATAAGAGTTTTTCCTACTCCTCCAGCAGTTACATACCAAGCCTGCACATATTGGTTGCCAGTCTGGCCAATAAATACATTAAGGATATATAACCGTCTAGCTCCTAAACAAGTTAGCATTAGACAGATTAGAACAGTAAATATCTTAGCAAAAGAGACATCAGAAAATTTAGATGTGCTCAATTGCTAGATGAGAAAGAGACCAATTGGACCAAGGAGACATAATGTTAGTCATTTGCAATTCGAGTATGAAGAGGTTGGATGGTAAAAAGTTTCTTCCAGGAAACAAAATAAAACTGATTTTAGATCTAAGAGTAAGCAGTAGGTAAGATTTCTGAGATAACCCAACCGTCATGACTTGTAAACTTAAAGAAAAAATAAAGGAATAAATACTTACCACTGTCAAAAGTGAACACTTCCTTAGTCATTGGTTCTGAACAACTTCTAGTAAAAACAGAGACCAAGGGAAGGATTAAAAGAAGCAAGAGCATAATCAGATTTGTTCCCGATATCATTAATATTATGTTAACTCTTATTTTAATGGCTTATATTGGGGTTTTGGGGTTTTGGGGTTTTGGGG